GTTGTTTGTCCTGTTTGTCTCTGTGTTGCCCTGCGATGGACTGGCGACCTGTCCAGGGTGAACATCACACCTGTAGACTAGAGATAGACACCAGCATCCCTCCAGGCCCCAGCTGAGATAAGCGTGACGGAAAAATGATTGATCCTAGAGTCTCTGATGGCAAAACATTTAAAAGAAGGAAAGAACAACAACATTCATGAATCTCAAAGTGGCTTTATGTCAGGGAGTAAGGGAGGCATATTTCAAATAATATTGGCTTAGTTTTAGAACTGGTTAATCATAGACTGGAGAGCCAATTACCCTTTTTTTGATTTCCAGAAGGTTTTCCACACAATTCGCCATAAATTCATTTTAGACTCCTTATCCTTCTTGAAATTTGGCATCACTTTTATGAAGGGAATGAAAAAATAATAACAGCTCTGTTGAATTGATATATGGTACAGCTCAGAGATAGTGTAGAAAAAGGTCTGAATTTACATCTTCCTAGTAGTTGCAAAAATCATGAACTATTAAATATTAAAAACTTCTTTCACTGGAATTTGTTCTTTTGACAAAGAAAAAACCAAAGTTAGCAGATGATTCTACTTCATTCTGCAAAACAATAAATAAGTTCCTCTAGAATCTACAGATCTAAACATTCTTCCAATGATCGAATTCATTCATTCTGTGTTCAGTTGTTGATCAAAATCTCTCATTAAATAGAAAGCAGTCCTGCCACTTGTCATTTCAAAATAATATCAGCTAGTTCAGTCCCAAATGATGGTCTATAAAGGTGTCTCTGGGATCAAACAACAAACATCTCATGATGGGTAAAATTAAAGAGTTTTCTCATCATCACGATGGCATTGGTTACAAAAAGGATTTCTATACTTCTGAATGTTCCAGTGAGCACAATAGGGCTATAATCCAGAAGTGAAAGGAACAGAATTTCACCATAAGCCCACCACCGCCAGGGGCTCCTCCTAAGAGTTCTGACAGAGGAATGAAAAGAATTATCAGAGGATTTTTTCCAAGAGTCAAAGGTCACTAGTGGAGAGTTTCAGAAAGACATGGAAATAACAGATACAATCTTTTCAAAGAAAACAATAAATAATGCCATCAACCTCCATGGCCTGTACGCACGCTCACCACAAAAGACTCCATTGCTAAAGAAAAGCATGTTGAAGCTTGTTTAAAATTTGCTGTGCAACATTTAGACAAGCCTGTGAAACAATTGGAGAATATAGTCTGGTCAAATGAAAACATAACTGAAGTCTTTTGATGCCATAATATACATCATGTTTGGAGATCAAATGGCACTGCACATTACCTCAAAAACACCATAGCAACAGTGAAGTTTGGAGGTGGGATCATCATGGCGTGAGGGTGTTTTTCAGCATACGGTACTGGCACACATCAAGTAATTAAAAGGAGGATTAAAGGAAAAATGTACATTCTTGATAAAAGTGTGCTGCCATCTACCAGGATGATGACGATAAACACACAGCCAAGGAAACGCTCAATTGGTTTCAGAGAAAGAAAATAAAGCTAGAAATAAACATGTTTTTTCTTAGCAAATTAGTATTTTATTGTCAATAATTGGAATTTTTGCAATCATTTAAGTATAATTTTATCAAATATTATCTCAATGAAATTATTTGGCAAAAAAAACATACCCTACTGTTATATCTCTAAAATAAAAGATCTTAAAATATATTGGAATGCCATTATAAAACGAGAAAAAAAAATTATAAATCAATCATTCCATCCGTTTTCCATCACACGTTATCCCAGCTGGGGTCACCAGGGATGCTGGTGTCTATCTCCAGCTGTCTAAAGGCGGGAGGCGGGGTCCACCCTGGACAGATCTCCAGTCCATCGCAGGGAAACACAGAGAAGAAAAGGACAAACAACCGTTCACACTCACACCTAAGGGAACTTTAGAGAAGCCAATTAACCTAACAGTCATGCTTTTGGACTGTGGGAGGAAGCCGGAGTACCCGGAGAAAACTCAACTATGCTCAGGGAGAACATGGAAACTCCACGCAGAAAGACCCAGGGCCAGGAATCAAACCCAGAACTTTCTTGCTGCAAGGCAGCAGTGCTACCCACTGCACAGCTGAGTAGTACTAATAAAAAAATAAAATAATAATTGTATTGTTTTCACTTAATAAATCAGTCGAAATAAAACAATTATTTAATCATTAAATTTACATGTAGCAGACCTCTAGGTGTTCTTTTTTGTTTCGTTCTTATATTTTATTTTGTTCTTGCATTTGTTCCCTATAGTTGTGTTTCCTGTAAAGTGTAGAATCAATCTTCAACTTATATTATCTAAATTGTATTTCATTTAAAAACAGTCAACAAAGTTCCATACTATATAAAAAAAACAAATCCCTCTTTTCTTTTAGAAAATTGTATATATATGTGTGTGCGTGTGTGTGTGTGTTTTTGTTTTGTTTTTTTATCTGGTAAGATATTATTACCTACCTCAAGATATCACATCATTAAAAATAAAGCAACTTCTAGACGTACAACGGAGTATTAGGGTCAGGCTAAAGATTTTTTTTTTATATATATTTTGAGAATTAAGTAAATAAATTACGAGAATAAATTCTTAAATCTATGATAATAAACTCATAATATAATAAAGCCATAAAATTATGAGAATAAAGTCATAAAATTACGAGAATAAATTCTTAAATCTATGATAATAAACTCATAATATAATAAAGCCATAAAATTATGAGAATAAAGTCTGAAACTCCAACCAAACACGATTATCTAGTTGCCCAGCTCTTATTCTGAAAGGGTCGTTTCCCGTCTAGGAGAAAAAATAAACACTTCCGGTTTGTGTGTGAAAGGGAAAAAGGCGGAACAGGAGGCCTCTCAGAGGGAACAAAGGCTGCCGGGGTGAGCGGTTTACGAATGTATTTATATTTATTGAATAATATATTTTATATTATAATATGCTGTTGTAAACATATTTTAAATTGCAGTCGCCTTGTTTTGTGTCGGTAGTTTAGCATGAAAGTTAGTTACTTAGCCATCTGGGGTGGATACTTTCTGCTAACTGCTAGCTTAGCATTCTAACAAAATGACTGCATTCTTCTGAGGTTGGACTGTACGTCTGCAAGGAGGTTGTTAAGATTATGTTTGTGTTTCTGTTCATAGGTAGTGTTTTTTCAATGAGTTTAGACGGTTAGTGTCACAGAGGTGTAATATTATTCTGCTTTAGTGTTATCTTTTCATCTTGTAGGCCAGGCCTGTTAGCGTTAGCTTACGTTGCTAGAACTCGGTCGTTTTTCATTAATGCTTTCCAAAGATTTTGATACCATCTTTCAGTCCATATTTCGTTTTGTATTTACGCATTTAAACATTTTTACTTTTACATGTTGACTTTTAGTGGAAATAATCTGTTTTTTTATTATTATTATTATTTGTAGATATTAACCAACATGGAAACAGTCTGATCTTTGTAATCCAGTGTCCAGCAAGATGTCAAGTGAGTATGTGTAAATAAAAGTACCTGGTTCATGTTTTATATAGTAACTTTAGCTAGTTTTTCTTATCCTGCTGCTGTAATGAAATTTTGTTTTGCATCATTGGTGCAGTTAATAACAAGGTTTAAAGTTTGTATGATAATCTCTCTGGTCCCTCTCAAGGCTAAAGCAATGAGATTATGGAATATCTCCTTGGTTTTATTTCAAAACAGGACAGTTTTTAAAGCTCAGATAAAATCAAAAAATAGTTGATAATCTAATAATAATTTACCCACAATTGCTTCACTATGTGTTCATCGCTGTTACCTGGATCTATTTTCGTCTTGATTAAAAACAGAAATCTGTACCTTCAGACACATTTGGTATTTGATTTTTTTTTTTTATTGGCTATCAATATTCTTAAGTATTCTATAATATAAATATTCAGCATTCTTTCAGCTTTAATAGCTATTTTTTTCCTTTTTCTTTTAATTCCCTGAAATAATGGGGGTGATATGCCTTACTCCCACACTGTTGCTCAGGTAGATGGCACCTCTGAGCCGTTTGTCATACTGTGGTGTCTGTAGTAGAGCCAGACGTGGAATAACTCAAACCCCCAACAATATGGTTTCTAAAACTTATCGAAGTCTTCTAACAAACGTATACAGCACTTGCTGTTTTATCTTTACTTTTCATTGTGATGTTAGCTGGGTAGAACAGCACAACATATTATAATAATGTCGTATCTCTCCCCAAGTATCATGATGCATACTGTGTCACAACTTGCCAAAACTCACTCCATGTCAAAATAATTTAGATTAACCTCATAAAACCTGAATCGGTCCTAATTTGAAGCTTTAGATTATTATAGGTAATCCAGACAACCCTGCTCTTTTTGTTCAACAATCTGAGGAGAATGTCTGCATTTTAGTTTTCCGTTTGATGAGTATCTTTCTTTTTTTTGCTTTGAAAACGATCGAGTTGCTCCTCACAGGCCATGGATAAAAAACAAAAACAAAAGCTAAATAATAGATCAGCAACCTGTTGCCTCTTTTAGGAATACGATCAATTTCAGTGGAATTCACAAATTTGACATGAGAAATGAAGATGATTATAATAAATCGCGTCATTAGAGCAATACGGAGATCCTCGGCTGCCTCCTGTGATTAGTTATAAATAGACTGAGAGAGAAAAGCTGTTGTTACAAAGCAGTAGGATAAAAATGCTGTTTCTGGTAATTCAAACAAAGTCCAGTTATGGAACGGAAGCTGCTTTGATTGAGTCTAAGCAGGCCATTGGTTTGGCCTGGGACAGAATTGATGAGTCGGGCGCATTAAATTCATAATTTGTATGTAGTATTTATAGATACGGACGCGCACATATATGAGGTCTCATATTTTTTAAATAACCTTTTCTGGAAGCAAGAGAAAGATATTTAATAGTTAAATAAGTGAAAGATATTTATTGATTTATTAAGGGTAAAAAGATTTATTTATTTAATTGAAGCGTGTCAGGTAAAATTTAAATATTTACATTTACAAATAGAAATCTTTCCAGTTTTTATTTTATGAAATATGCGGCACGTTTGGCTTTCCATTATTGTCATCCAAGCGCACGCCGGCTACCGTTCATTCATCCTGTCCGCTGAACTGCTGCTAGTTTTCCTCCCATGCCTGGAAGATGTCTAGTGCTGCTACCACAGATGATCTCGCTCTCCAAATGGAATTGAACGATTCAGATTAGCTAGAATGAATAGAAGGGGTAGAGCGTAGCCGCCTGTGGCCCGGCTGCTTGTCACAACTCCAGTACGGCGCGCGGATGACGTCATATACGCGCCGCTTTGTTTTTAGGACATATAGATATAAAAATCTA